AGCTGCAGCTCAGGCATGCTGCGGGCCGCGAAGAAAAACAGCTTGATTCCCGAGCTGCGTGGGCAGTGAAAGAACCTAACCTCTGAACCCTAAATCCCTAAACCCCTAAATCCTTAAATCCCTTACCGCTACACCCGTTCACACAAGACTCGGCCTGGTAGCAGCCAGGTGACGAAGCTGAGAGGGCTGATGCCTACCAGCAATGGCTCAAGCGTCCCTGAAGTTGTGGATTGTGAGGGTGGGCCATAAATGCTGCACCTTACGGCTGCTTACGGTTGTGCGTCTCCTAGCGTGGCTGCCAAATGTATGTTCCCTGTTTGGTACGGATTCCCTAGGAAACGCTACCTGAACTCCAGACGTTCGTAGAACTATGGTCTCTCCAGCTTCATTTGGATGTTATGTGAAACCCATAAGTAAATGCATAGGTTCCATGGCTCTTTTTGATGGGCTTTTGTCCATTGCTTTTCCTGTTTATGTGGTCCAGGCACCGCGTACCCCACGCTTTTGAGTTTCGGGTATAACGCCTGGGGTTATAGGGCCCCGTAAACCTTAAACCCTAAACCATTCAAACATTGCATTGAACCCAACATGCTGCCGTCTAGGGTGCTTGCAATGCACTTCTTACCTAGAGCTATCTGCGATTAGCAGACGCGTAACCAAAGCTGTTGCGTGTTTACAATTTAAAGTTTAAACTTTCGAAGCAAAATCCAAATGTAGCAAATTTGCGAGATTCATCGGCGTGTACTTGCCCTGCCCTTGCCAGTTTATCGCGTCAGAAGCCAAAGCCAGATTTGGCGATTTCATTTCGTGGACGTTTGCTTCTCCCCTGCTTAGCTACTTTGAAGCGCAACAACTTATGGCTTTTGCTGCTTCAAATCCCATGCAAGATAGTTCAGCCCACAATCTGGCCACTGATGACATGAAAATTTGGGGCCAGACACGCAGCCTTGAAGACTCAGGACCCACTGCCTGAATAGCGTAAAGCCAGGGGTTCCCCTCTACTTCCAGCCGTGATCTGTGTGTGCGGGTCGTCCTTGACCAGGACTGCGCAAGTGAGGGCGCGATCATCTCCAGGTCAACTTGCTACGCCCTAAATGACTTCGTCTTTAGCACACGGGACTCAAATACCCCTTGCTTGAGTGGAGGGCAGGTTGTCGCCTGCCCCGCCGCTTTGCACAGGACTGTTACCCAGGGCCTGCGAGGTTTTGGGTTTAGTGTGCGAGTTGCGACGGCAGGCCTAAAGCAGTAGCACCGCATGGTCTGCAACGGACCCCTCTCAAAAATTGGGCAGCCCGAAAGCAAGTCCAACTGGACTGGAGGAGCGGAAGCCTCTCGTGAATTCTACCTGACGTATGTTCACCTGCGAGGGGAAAGAGGAAGCTGCGATCCTTGCTTTCCAACCTGTGAAGGCGCACTTGTGGCGCGCCCCAACCAGAAACTGGACTGCAAACTGATTGGTCTGGGGGAGGTCTCGCATTTATATTCAACAACCACATACGTGGATGAGACGTGCAAGATTTGCCATAACCCAGATACTAACGAGATCTGCCAAAGGTGAAAGAAAACACATCGGCTGGCAGAAAACGTGAAAGACCTTCGCATGGACTTTGCTAAGGCCTGCACTCGTAGGCGTTCCATCTGATGAACTAAGGTTTTGGGTTTAGGTTTTAAGGTTTATAAGCTCTTAAACTCTATAGGGTCCAGGGAGGACCAACTGATGAACTGGGGCTAGGCCAGCAGCCAAAGTTTTTGCAACTCGGGAGCTGCCCACAAGTCTTTGGCAGTGCCTGGCTGTTGGAATTTGCCGCGTTCGATTGTTGATCAAGGACTTTGATGACGACCAGCAGGGGAGCACAGATATCTCCGCAGCGACGATCTTAGAGCAAGTGACTGCTGGTGATGAGCAATGCAGCATTCAACACAGTACATGGGGTTTTCCAGAAACTGGGGGCCCCAATATAGACCCCAAAATACCTGAACCCCAAATCAGGGACCCCAAATTTTAAGAACCCCAAATAATGATGACATGAAACTGAACTTGTTCTGAGCAACCTTTGGCTGCAGCGCCGCAGAGACTTCGAACAGCATGGCAGCTCCACCTGCAAAGTCATCGCAATCTTGAGCTTGCGAGAGGTAAGTCACCAACCGCCTTCTGCAGTACCTCGGTCTTATGGGTGTTGAAGGGAGATTGGGGGAATCGATCCTCATAAGAAACCCTGAATTGTGCGAATGAATACCCTTAACTTAGTTTATACCTAAGTTCATTGCTCCAAATTACCCCGAATCACCCTAAGCAGTTGGCCACTCAGTAGCCAGAACAGCTGCCTCATGATTGAGGCCATGGTCACAACCGCCCCTTGACATTCATATATACCAAGGAAAGGCAGACACATGGTAGCTTCCTTAAGTAGGGAGAACCCAATATAGATCCCCGAATGCTATCACCCTTAGTATATGTACAGCCTCAGGCCCCAGAACCCAGGGCCTCCCAAACCTTCGATGTACACTGGTGCGTAACAGAGCCTTCCCATACTCTGAGGCGAAGCAGCTCGAGGAGTAAAACCGAACGAGTAGGGGTACGATCTCAGGGTTGCAAGTTGGAAGCCTTTGAGATACCCTAAATCCTAAATCTCCAACCCTAAGTTCTAAACCATGTGCACCCTGGACCCCGCACCCTGAACCCTAAACCTCAACCCTAAACCATGCCTGAAGCCGGTCTAGAAGCGCAAAACAAGCGGCTGCAAATTCACGCTGGACGTTCCAGCAGGCCCAGTTTGCACCACAACCTGGGTGGCTGTTGAAGGTTGAGGGGTTCAGGGTTTAGGGTTCAGGAAGTTTAGTTAAGTGAGGGTTGAGAGTGAGGGAGGATGTGGAGGAACTTAAGTTCAGTTTCCAGACTATAGATGTGTAAGTAGATGTTAGGGTATTCTAGAATGGTATCTTATAGTTGGAGTCCCTTAAGCTCCTACATAAACCTCATATAACCCCAGTTAACATTTCATTTTCAATATCTTGTCCATTTGATTATCCATTCTGGTGACTTGCTTAAAATGCTGTAACAGCAGCACATCCTAAACTCTTAACCCTAAACTCAGAGCCTTAAGTTATTTCCTGCACAACAACCCAGCAACATTGGTCCAGTCATGTGAATGGTGTCATTGGCACCACTCGCACGGCATGGCCTCGCAGGTTTCACAGATCCCATACTTGGAGGTTCGCTATCGTTGTTGCGAAGGGAGGACATCCTGCACCACCTGAAAATTCACAAAATACGGTCATTCCTAAGGAATAGGGTAGAAAAGGTATGTAAGGCAGTGCACGATCTCCTCCATCCACTGTATACTTGGAGGTTCCGCATGTTAGTAACCCAGCCTCAAACATGGTGTCTAGTGTTTAGGGCTTGGGGTTTGGAGTTCTTCTGCAATCATAACTGCGATTGCATCCAAATTGCAACCATTTTTGGGGACTTAGGTGCTTATAATTGAGCTATAAGTACCAGAGTAGGTAGGTTACATTCAAGCTGAACCTCCATGCAGCCATAATCTTTGGAGACGCTACTGTTTTCGATAAGAAAACAAGATTAAGCTACAGTCAGAGAGTTGTCTTTTGCACCCTTAGGTTTGTAACATTGGGTTTGGATCCCAAAGAACTGGAATATAGCCCTTCACTATGGTTTTTTGGACCCCAAACCCGAAGTTGCAAACTGAAAGTCTTTGGGAATACGAAGCTTTAGGAGATTACCTGGCAGTACGGGTTTCTTTTTGTTACCCAAATCCCTCACCCAAAACCCTGAATAATGCCACAGTTTCCATTGTCTTTTTCTTCGTTCCTTTTATACCCCTTGCTCAAGCCTAAGCCCTGTATGCACACGTCAAGCTTACAGCAGAGGACAGGCAAGGTTGCAAGCATGCTTGGAAGTTCATGGAACCTCGTAACTGCTTGTAAGTGGGCTTATAGCCTTTCTTATACTCCCTGTATGGCGTTACCCAAACTATACGTGGGGTTATAACCCCACATAGTTGCTCAGTCCCATGAGCTTCCAAGACACCACGAGATTAGTCCTGGCCTCCAGCTGCCATCTCACGCCCGCTCCAGCTAAAACCAAGGGCTTGAACCAGAATACTCCAGAATACTGTACGTGGCTTAGGGTTGAGGAATTAGGATGTAGGGTTTAGGGATTAGGGTTTTTAGGCTACAGGCTCTAGAGTGCTAACTTTGTACGGATACGAATCGAGCATGTGTCTCAAGACATCAGTCTCATGGGCATTATATAATATCAGGAGCCCCAAGCCCTAAACCCTAAACCAGGGATTAGCGCCCGTGCACAGCCGGACAGGGATGCTACGATGTCATGTTAAGCTACCCTACGGCTGAAATGTAATTCCTCCTGATTAGTATACTATGGGGTTTAGGTTTTAGGATTATTAGGTTTAGGGTTTAGCGTACTCCCCCTGAAGCCGTGAGAAACTCAAACAGGAGCTGGCATGGGATGCACGACGAAGCTCCTGACACACCCTGCTCGATGTGACATGTTCTGTAGACGCCTGAAACATTTCCAGTATGACTCCAACATTGCCCGGCCCGTATATAGCTATCGAATAATCTACCCTCAGACACTATTCTCGTTCAATAGGCCGTTACTCTAGAACTCTACTATGGTCCCTGCACAAACCCGCACATTAACCCAGTGTCCATCTTATTTTCAATGTTCGTATCCATTTGATTCTCCAGGCTCTTCCTTTCCATAGACCCCAACCCTAAACTGCAAGCCCTACACCATAGTGCGAAAGGAGCTGCAGCCGTCGCCAGAGCTTCGAACGAGACAGTGCAATTCTGGAAGGAGGAAACTCCAAAACCCGGAAACTCGAACCTCGTGGCCAAAAAAAATCATGTGCGAACCAATACTGCTTACAAAAGGCAGCTCCCCAAAAAGGACCTCCAATTGAAACTGTCAAGCTTTCTAACTAAAGGCAGGCCAAACGGTGACAATGTGTTTTTCTTCAAGCTTTGGCTCTACGCTTGCCTTTGCCTTTGCCCTTCATCTTTCCTTCGCCTGGGCGAGCCATGCAATTGAAGTGCACATGTTTCTCAGTTGAAGTTATGTAGGCGCGTGTGCGGTGAGCAGGTTTTGGGGGTGTATTCTACGGTAGTTATATGGGGGCTTAATTTTGAGGACAGTAAATAGGTAATTGTTGAGGTTTCTCCAGTGGGCCCTAACCACTATTTTTCCATCAGGACTCATACGGTGGGCATCTCCCCTTGCAGTATGAAGGAAAGATGCATATGCTAGGTTGCCAAAATTCTGGCCCGTTCTGGGCCCCAAGAATAATACAGCGTCTAATGTTCAGGTTACCATGAAGCGGACTATAATCGTGACGACCTACCCCATGAGAATCATCATGATCAGGTCGAATACAGAACGTCCCTCTGGTAGAGACAACAACCACCTAGACCCCAAGCCCTCTGGCGGGCACAGCCCGCAAGAGCTTTTGAAATAACTTCGAGCAACCCTCCCCCAAACTAACATGCAACCCTTTCAAACCCCGTAGTCTTTCCAGGGCTCCTTTAGGGTTCCATGTTATTCGGGGAAGACGAATTCACTGGCAATCCTACATCCTGAGCCCTAAGCCCTAAATCGTTACAAAAAAAACAGAGCACTTGAGGTGAGGTCGATAGTTTATGGCTTAGGGTTGCCCCCAGAAATTCAGCTCAGTTGCGAGTCGTGGAAAAAAGCTTCGGAAACTTGGCGGCTACATCGCCACCCTCCAATGCCAGCTTCGATGGACTTTCCTAAAAATTAAGGGATTCAGGGTGTAGGGTTTAGGATAGGGGTTTAGGGATTGAGGGATTTGACGTTTCAATGTAATTAGCGATTTTGGGTTTAGGGATTTAGGATTCCGAGATTTAGGATTTAGGGCCTGACTTTTCCTTAAGGCTCTAAGCACCTAAATGGTAGATTGTCTGGGCCCGGCGCACCTTTGTAGGAAACGATTTGGGCCCAACTTCTGTATTATTTACGTGCTTGGCGCCTTTGGGTTTGTTGGCTGGTTTGGAAGGCTTCTTGGCTTGTTCTGCAAGCAGTGGGCAGCACGCGAACGGCTTACAAACAAGGAGCATGTGCTTAGTTGCAGGCTCATGTCTGGTCGTCTGAAATTTTAAGCCGTTATTGGGTCTCCAGTCTCTAAGGACGCAAGAGCGAGGCTGATGGAGGCACCACATTTCGGAATGTCAAGGCCCCTCCAAAGCCGTAAGATTCAAGTTCTTAACCTGAAAGCCTGAACCCTAAGCTGCTAAACCCCAAGCCCAATGTAGTTTGGAGTTTAGGGACGCAATCGGCTTTCAAAAATCATTGGCCGAGCATCAGGGCAGACGGGGTAATCGGTGCCTCCCAAAGACGAGGCACACTGGGTTGACAGGGAACCAAAGGGGCCTAAATAGCTAGGTTCCCCAGTAACCTTTTAATAATAAGGTTTCCCTTCCTTGTGTTCAGTTTTTATTAAGGAGACCCCCAAATAAAATGGGCAAAAGGGTACTACTGGGGTACCTAGATAATGACCAACATCATCTTCAGGCCCATTTGAGGCACCCCACACTATAAATCCAGCTGGAGGTCTTGGGGTCTTGGACTTCAGCTTTCTGCCAGCCGCGACCCAGCCCCATCCTTGAAGATGTTCAGCAACACGCTCTGATACAAACCCCAAGCCTAAAACCTAAAAAGCCTATTAAAAAACTGAGCCCGAAGCGAGAGGCATAGAAACAGAACACGCTGGCGAGGATGTGAGGCAGAGATCGCGCAAAGTGACGTGCTTTCTGGATTTCAGGGGCTACCTCTTTCAGATGCGCATGCTGAATTTCCGCGTCGTTCTTTCAGAAAGTTACCAAGCTCCACATCGCCCTTCACGAAACTGACAGGGATCCAACTGAAGCTCGTCTGACATCCCCAAAACCCTCAAACCCCTGAATCCTTAGCCGAAAGCCCTTAGACCTGCTTACCCATAGACTCGAAGTTCTCTGGAAACCTGGTCAAGGTAATGATTTCGACTGGTTATCAGGACTAAGAAAACATAGAAACTAAACTTGTTTGTGGCACCTTCCAATAAACGCTGTACCCCAATCCCTGAATCCTAAACCCTCAAGCCCACACAAACTTGCCATTGCTTAGGGTTCCCAAATTTCCTTGGCGTTAAAATTTCAAGCTCCAAATGACCTCCGAAACCCGAAGTAATTGCAATCAATCCTAAACTGTAGCAATTAAAAGCCAGGGCCCCTGGCCTAGAAAGCAGCCAGCTCGCTGCTGCTCCTCCACAGGCATTGTCCAAGGAGCATGCAGATATTCTTGGGCAACCTGCCTGTAACAAGGGGCTGGGGTTGTAGGATCAAGGGGTCAGGGTTTGGAGTCTTGGGTGGGAAAGTTTACGGCAGGAGATGAGGATTAACAAGTACTTACTACTCTAACGAAATACATGGTGCATCAGGATTGCAAAGGTTTGTATATGGATCAAGATGGGAAACAAGGGTACGCAATTTGGTTGTCCCCCCGGCAATGAGGAGTCTATGACTTGCAAATGACTCTTATACGGTCCTTGTTATAACGATTGGGGTTACAATTGCAAAAATCCTGTTATCGCCCTGGGTCCAACTGTGCGGGCCAAATATGTAAGGACTTCAGTATTTGATATCAAGGTGCGTGGCGTGCAATACATGAGCGATAAACTCCCACATGCAAAGGCTGACTGAATGCGTGAGAAGCTGGGTGCCTGCAACTTGATGAGCGTGTTTTGTTTTTCTGTGCACGGACAATGGTGCCAGCACAAGATTCGGGTTCAAAACATGCGGCCCGCCCAACAGCATAGGCAGAAAACTGTGGGAAGCAGCCGAGCGCAGGTAGCCGCAGCGCTCGTCTGCAACCAAACCAGTTGCTCCAGCCAGTAAGATAAGTAAGATAAACCAACGAACGGCGAAGGCAACCAGACAAAACATAGCTAACGTCACCGGACCTCTTCAAGACGGGTAACAGACATTGTGCTACATAAAAGTTATGGCACAAAATGCGTATGCAGGTGGCTTCTGGCGGATGCGCCAGTTGAACTTCTCATCAGGTTTTGCGAGGCAATCGCCACCCAAATGGATTGTTTTAGGAACAAGTCATCAAGAAATTTACCAACATCACATTCATAAATTTCAATGTGGAATCGCGACGTCTGCTTCGCACGGTGCTGGGTGCAGTGCCTGGATTAGATTGGGCATGCCATGGCACGGTTGGAAGCAACATGTGCGTGCTTTCAAGGAACGATTTCAAGTGCACAACCGGTCTAAGACATGTCTTCGGCAGTATTGGAGGTTCTCCTCCTACGTCGTGCGTCTCCCTCCATCAGCTGGCTCAGAAGAGCGTTGGAGCGGTATGAAGAGGTCCTCTGACGTACTCAAAATTTCAATGCTTGGCATAATGCATGTAAGCCTCTTGTCGTCTCGCGCGACAATGATGTGATTGATAGCTTCGTTTGGTTTGATTTGACTTGATTTGGTGCTCAGTGTCCGCGCACGATGCGAAGAACAGCAATTGGCACAACATTTGTCATTCGCGGCACAGCGCGAAATGTAAGGTGGCTGGTGTCTCCACCGTTGTTTTGTGCCTAATGGCCAGCTGCCAATTTTCGTGAGCAAAAAACACACGTCCATGCATTTTGTGGGGGCAGGTGTCGTTTTCCTCGCGCTGCCAACGGCATGCTGTCCACGGATGTGTCGCTTTCCTTGGTTTCGTCGCGGTCTCGTCTGAAAAGTGCAAACGACCATGGAACATGAAATGGCAACCGCATGTATTTGGGGTTTCTGGGAATTGTATGTAGGAGCCAGAAAACTCGAATGAGGTTCTGGAGGTGTAGTATACTTTTGTTATATAAGGGAGTATCCCTGGATAATACTTCTACAATACTCGGAGGTTCAGGTTAATCCTAACCCAATGTTTGCTGTAGTAATATCCCAATGATATTGTATTGAGGTACTTAGGGATGGGCTGAAAAAAATAGGGTTACAGCCCAAACCCTAAAGCCGGAAAGATTAACTACGATCATAGAGGTTCCCCTTACCCTGAACAAGTGTTTTCCTATACACTAACCCAGCCCCTGATTTGATTGTCCGCACGGCAGGATGCACCTGAGGGCGAGGATCCAGGGTTTAGGGTTTAAATGTCAAAGTTCGGTGAGACCGAGCGTACAGGGACCTGAAAAATGCTGATTGTATGTACTTCTCACCCCCATTAAATATGCTAGTTAGTTTCCATACAAAGAGAGACCCAATACAGAACCCCCGATACTATCAATCGCATTACAGGAACACCCAAACATGTACCCTCATTTTGGGAAACCCTATGGTTCTTACGCTCCTCTCACTACATAATCCAGTCTCCATTTCATTTTGCAATTCAAATTTCCATGATTCTCCATTAAAGCACGCTCCATGTTCTCTTCCCTTCCCTACATTGAGAACAGCCCTCCCATGTAGGGACGCTATCACCTCAGAAAACCCCTACTCCACATCTCCAACCGTAAGCGCTAATCCCTAAAATGTTGACAGCAAATTTCGGGGAACCGGATCTGAACCATGCTGAGTTGCGAAAGCTCTGCTACCCACAGGCGGACGTAATTGCCCTTCGGGTCAAAACGGCGTCGCTCCTCGATGGTCCCAGATCTACGTAACTATGTCAGGGTTATACTGGAAGAATATGGGCAGTCCCTGAGGTAGACGATCCCAGCATCTGTATCATTATCCACTAGATTTTCCAGCTGGTTCTCCAGTATTGGTACGTATTTAAGCTTGCCCTAAACCCAAACATGCCCCTTAGAATCCCTGCGAACACCGCAGCGGACCTGTAAAATCTCGGGAATTGTGACGGGCTGCTCTAGTTAGCTGGCGATGGAGTAAGAGGGCTTTGGCATAAGATCCCATCCAAATTCTAAATCCTACACCCTAAACCCTAAGCCCTAAACAGTGAAGCCGTCCTCGTCCAGGTTGAACCACCTGCTACCTGAGTGGCCGAAGCCTTGACCGTCGACGCCCGCCGCACGCATCCAGTTACCCCAGTTGGCATGCCTTGGGCTTAAGGTTTGGGGATTAAGGTTTCGGGTATAGTCCCTCTTCAGTAGATAGGGAGTGATAGAAAGTTTGGGGTCTATAGTCCCCCTGAAGTAGATAAAATATGGGGTATGTGGTGATCTTACTGTGATACCAGACAATACCACATTCTATCTACTTAAGCAGGACTATACCCCGGATTCCAAGTTCGCTTCATGGCTTTGTAAGGGGCTCTGCGGCAGCAACGTTGGGATAAATGGGGGTGTATACAGTATGTGTATATACTCTCCATGACAAACTACTCTTGAAAGACCACAGCCCTCATGAGGAGGCAAAAGGAACTCCACGTGAGCTTAGGGGTCGAGCCGTGCACACCTTGTCAGGATAAGCCTTCTGCGGCAGTTAAAGTCTGGATTCGATCTCTACAACATCATCCAACCAGGGTTCACTAGCATTTAATCCAGAAGCAGAAAGAATCAGAAAGGGACCTTACTGGCTCATGCAAAGACTGACCAAGTAAGCAAACGGAATGGAGGTGACTGGTATATTGTACTTCGCTATGTAAAAACCGGAAAGGAACATTATGCTAAATTATCCAGGTTTTACAGTGGCCCCAGACCTCAAGCATAACTGTTTTTGTGGGCAGCTGCCGGTCCCTGAGTCTGCTTGCATTGGCGATACTGAGTTGCGGAGGTTTGTGAGTATTCAGTGGCTTTAAAGAAAAGTAGGGGTTGATTGTTTGAGGTCCTTATTCTAGGGTTTATAGAGTTTGGGGATGCATTTGGCGGGGGTCCTGTTGAAAGAAACCACCATTTGCAAGTGATAGGGCCAATGCACTGCTGGCAAACTGAAGCGTTCACTTTGTTTGAGCCCGACGTGGAACCACCCCAAAGCGTCCTCGGCACACCCCGTTCAAGGTGTGACCGTCCCCCACACACACAAACATGTAAGGCCAAAAGGGCACTACAAAGACTACTTTCCGCTTCAACGGAAACTATATTATTTGCTTCCATTCTTGTTTGTACGAGGGTTCGTGACCAGTCCAAGCGAGCTTCCTTGATGCCGATCATTGGAAAAGCCAACTAGCAAAATTCTGCTTTGGAGTTTGGGGCTTAGGTAGGGTTGAGGGATTTACGGCTTGGCATAAGCCTTCTTGCGCAATCTCAGGACCGTGGATGAGCTCTGTTTGACAGTGAGGTCTACTTGAACCCTAAACCCTAAGCCCAGTCCACCCTAAGCCTTCAACCAGGGTCAAGCTTCACATCATAGTCGATCAAGTAGGACCTGGCAAGGAGGAGTGGCACGGGACACGATTTAGGGTTCAGGATTTAGGATTTAAGGCCCTGCGACGGAACGATCAGCATCATGAGACGTCGCAGCCGCAAACTATTAATTGTGAGTTGCTCCTGAGAGCTGAAGTTTATTTTATTGCCGACATGAGCTAACACATGTGCCCTAATTCCTAAGCCCTAAACCCAACAGGATCCCTGTACGATGCCATACGATGTACTTGCGTGCTTGAGGAACAGCGCATATGAAGGGTGGAGAGGGGGATGTAGCCCGAATAACGGGGAATCAAATAGGATTTTTGAATTCAACACAGCTCGAGCGTGTTCTGAGCAATCAAATGGAAAACAAATCTCAAAATAGTTGGGTTCATACAGTGGACGCTAAAAATCCTGCATGACTCCAAGTACCTTGCACCCTGGGAATTATGGCCTGATGGTTGACTTAGGTTCTTCAGAATCTGTAGTATCGAGGGAATCACTGTCAAGTTCGCAGCCCCTGCATGTGTAGGGATGTACGACACGTGCAGCAGCCTTAACCCTACACCCTTGCTCTAAACCACAGTCCAAAGGACTCGAAAAGCTCGGCCCCAATTCGCCAGTCCAGGGAAAGATCCACAATGATGTAAGAAGCCACAAACCTGGGTGTAGAATGCAGGGTTGAGGGAAATAATGGGGTTCATAGGGATCATGTCGGGAAAAGATTCGAGAAATCATGGAAGATGAAACAGAAGAACAAATGGACGATGAAATGGAAGCTACAGAATTTACAATTTTGGGTTCTGGGTTTAGCTTCTGTTAAGGGTACATTGGGGCTGCATTGGGATTTCGGGCTTCGGGGAGTACAGGGAGAGTTCAGCAGTTTGGGGAGTACTTCGGGGAGGATTACAGGTCTAGCTTGGACGTCTTGAGGATTATTCGGCTAGCAAATTCCCGCAAATTAGTGGAGTCTGTGTGCGGGATCAGGTTGGCGTCGACGTCTGCATACTGTGACGCTGCAAGGCTCACAGTGCAACTCTTGAACAAAAGAACTTCTTACTGGTCACTGGTAGCGGATAAGGAATATAATTCCTGTAAAGCCCTACATAACCTTTTCCCCTATTCCCTACTGACCCCCAGTAAGACTAACCGCTGTCTTTGGCAGCAAATTTCATGCTTCCGGGCCTTCAGGTTGGCCGAACAGCAGAGTTTTCTCATGGTGCTTGGGGTCTCAGATTTGTGATCCGCTCACCTTGAAAGTAAAAAAGGGTTTAGGGCTTAGGCTGATTGGGCGCTGTGACAACTAGAAGGCAGCATGCCGTAAGCCGACTTTTCAGGGTTGCCTGAAATTCCAAGTGAGCCCATGCCCCGGAATTCCGGAAAGTATCTAAATCATACATGGGATCCTAATATCCTTGAAGGTATGGGTTTAGGATTTGGGGCTAGGGTTCCCCCGTCAGGGAGTATTGGGCTCTCTGGGTTCTGCTAACTGCTGAGACCATGGTTCGAGAGTGCCGTGCAAATTTCTGCAAGCTCCGAATCCAGGTGAAGCAGTCCGAACTACTGTTGTGGCTTAAATACTTAATTGCCGATCTTGTTTTAAGGGTCTGTTTGAGGTACCATCTAACAAATACAATAGTTGGACTAGGATTCAAGGACCCAACTGGTGACTATTCCGGCTTCTGCATCAATACACTTATGACGCGTTGCTGGCCTCAGTACTCAGTACCAACAGCCAACCGGCAGTTGCAACAGCACAAGCGGCAAAAGCAAACACACACCACATGCTCGGAAGATAGGATTAGAAAGAGTAATGTAGAGGCCGGGAATTACCAACATGATTTTGATTTCTCTTCGAGGTAGCGTGTACCATGCCCATTCCTGCACAGGCAACCTAGGACCATAACACTGGTCATTCTCTAGGTCCCTGGATGAGCAGCCAACTTCACTGTCACTGTGTGCCCTCAGAGGTGCTGACGAGCGCGATTGGACATAAAGCCCGAAAACATCATCTCGCGTATGGCAGCATCCACTAGCCTTGAATTGAGGCTTCCCAGTCCGGATAAGGTTTACAGTTTAAGGTTCAGGATTAGGGTTCAAGGTTTGGGGGAAACCTCCCTGCCCCCGAGCCGTGAATATCACCTGAATGTATGGTGGATTCACTTTCTTTGAAACGGGGGGGTCGGGGGAATTTGTTATTACGGGCGGGGATTTCTGCGAAGGTAATATCTAACCCCAAAAACCAAACCATGTAAACCCTAAACCCTCAACCTGAAACCCTCCAAACTGAAAACCACACTCCCTAAACCTCTCAATCATCCCAAAGTGTCCCCAATGTAGGCTGCAAGTCATCTTGACTGGTTCCACCTTTTGGATCCTGTAAGAACAAACCACAAATCCTACATCCTTCACCCTAAATCCTATATGAGTCCCCCGCATGCCAGGTGGTGGGTGCCAGAGGCTTATGCTTGCAGGCATCGAGTGTCCATGCTGCCAAACCTTAAGCCCTTTAAAGAATACACCGGCAAGCGCCTGAATGGCCTACATTACATGTCTCCACAGTCTGCAAGAGCCCACAGACTGGTTCCACATTGGGATCTGATCTCACCATGAATCCTACTTCTACATTCCTTCTTGGATTTTAATTGTCATAACCCAAATGTGGACCTTTCGACACCAAACCCTAAACAATAATAAACCCAAGTACGGCAGGCCCGTGCGCCCCTCCAGGACTCGGCGTGTCATCTCCTCACAGGGGTGCATCGACAAGCTTCTGTTCTTCAAGCACACCAGGCGACCGTGGTCCTCCAGAACACCAACATGCATGACTCGTGAAGTTCATGGAAATCCAAACTCCAAACCTGCCCTGAAACCCTTCAAAAAGTACTATTAAGTAGCGGCTCGGCGAAATTTACATTACAAAAACACGCAGTTTTCAGGGCACACCTACGAGTAGAGTTGAGCTCCTGCAAATCCGGGCCTACGAGCTCTCAAAGCACTTCATAGAGTCGGCCGAAGCGCAATTGTTAAGATTCACTAGTTTACATACTAGATAGGTAGTTTCAAAACAACAGCGTAATCTATACTTGTAACCATAGGGGGTATACCCCTAAACCCTAATCCCTAAACTCCTAAATAGGTTATAACCTGGTTGTAACTTGGCGTGCTGTTCGTACACCTGGTTGTAACTTGCGCGTTTTCTTACCTACTTTTGCATTAGCAAGCCCAGATCTCCCACCCCAATGCTATGTTCAGGGTTTATGACTTAGGATGTATTGTTTCGGGGCATAAAGAAGTACCAACAAATGGAGAGATGGAAAAGACCATGGAACATGACATGGAGACTAGTTTCTATAGATGTTTGTAGGTATCATGGAATATTGCCAGCATGATTTTGAGGTCCTCTGGAAGTACGCTATACTATTCAACTTTCACCCTATACAATAATCTTACAGGGAGCCTAGACCCAAACTCTTGGTAATGACTTAGGCGTCCTTACGTTGCATCATCCCCATAAACCTAGATTTCCTTTTCCTCTCCATCTGGTTTTCCAATATCATGCTGACCTCTAAACCCTCGACAGCCCTACAACCCTACATTACCCAAATCATCGCCCCCTAAAAGCAGCAGCAATCTCAGTGATCCCGGCTTGGGGCCTCATCAATCTGCCAGGAACCTTCCACCCGACCAGGACCACGCAGCCTTGAGATTTGCTGAAGGGGGGGTGGCAATGAAGATATGTAGGAATTTGAT